ATCCAGTGGAGGGTCAGCTGTGGGTCAATTCTGACCCTACAGTACACAACAACCACCTCACCCTTTGCGATTTCCAGTTTCAGAAACCCAATGGAAGGTCACTACAAGTTGGAATTGACTGGACAATAGTGTGTGATTCATTCACAGCTGTTGTCCTGGCACCGAGAACAGTGCCTCAAAGTTTAATGTTGTACATCGCTGTCAAGTCAGAACCAACTCATAGCTGACCCTCCAGCAGGTTTTCAGAGGCTGTAAATTGCACAGGAGGTGGTTGCTCATCTTTTCCCCCTGGGGCAACTGGGGGATTCAAACCGCCTGCCTTTGGATTGGAAGCATAACTCCTTACTCAGTAGTCTACCAGAGCTGCTTCAAAATCGAATAGGTGTTTTATGAATGTGGAACCGAATACAGCAGATCTCACCACTCCATCTTACCTCGCTGACTCAGATTCAGATTATCAAGTACCTTTAATCACTTTGCTTATTCTATTGTTTTTCTTATGGGAGGAAGTGTTTCTGTGTCCACATCACCATAAAAAGGTGGAAAGTGAAGACAGACACAGTCTATACCACTGCCTGCCTCATGTGCACGTGTATACCTGTGTGTGTATACGCTCACATGCGTACGTGAAGACCAGTAAGCTTCTCAATCCTCTTTTTTATGCTGTTGAAAACCAGATTCACTCTTCTATGCTTTGACCTTTATTATATGCTTTTTTTTTCTTTTTGGTGTTCCCTCCAACAAGTCCCACAGGTACCTCATTCAACATTCCCTAACCCAGTGACCAACCGTACCATTCTCTATAAGCCTGCCCCTCTTCCCATGTCTTCATATTGGTCATGGTTCCCATCCCCCCAGTCCCCACATGCTTTAAGTTTTGATCTATTGGCTGACAGTATCACTGAGTCCCTATTCAGGGACCTGAGGTCTAGTGGGAGACTCAGGTACAAATAGTCATGTATGGGGTGGCCTGAAGTCTGTCTAGGAGAAGAACAAGGCTCTCCGGTGGAGGCTGGTAGGCAAAGAAGGCTCCCTGGAGGAGGTGCTGTTTAAACTGAGGCCTGAGTGCTCGGTAATAGAGAGCCAGGCAAGGAGGGAGGGAGGGAAGGATTCCTCCAATGCAGGGGGTCTGTGTGTGTTTGGGAGGCTGGGATGGGAAGAAGATGAAGTCTTATATGAATCAGGAGAAGTTGAGCATGTGTGTCTGTGTGTGAGAGTGCGTGCGTGCGTGCGTGAGAGCACGGGCATGTGCTCTGGGATTTGGAACTGGTAACAGTAAAGCCAGCAAGTAAGTAGGTACATAAGAGCTTCGGCTTGGAAACACATTGAAGAGTTGAACTTGACCTAGAGGGTAATAGAGAGCCATTAAAAATTTGAGTTTTGTCTTTTTTTCTTTGCTTTTTAAAATGCAGTGCATGCACATATAACCATTAAGAAATCATACGGAAAAGCAGCTTACTTCACAGAAGTAATCACATCTAAAAGTTTCATGGATTTCCTTCCAGAATTTTCCCTTCTAAACATCAATCTATAAATACATGTCTTGTCTTTTTCTTGGCTACATGCATGGAATCCTAATAACCATGTTGTCTCTGGGGTGTGTGTGTAGGGGGGACATTAAACACTTGATTTCTTGGTTTCTTTGTTCAGTTTAAACTGTTGCCCCATATTACAACCAAATCATTAATTTTGTGTCCTCCCGAGTGTTAACTGGTTTGCTGCATGTTGCTGTTTAGGAATCCACTATTTCTGCAGGAGCTCAAAGGAATGGGCTTTTAAGAAGTGTGCAAGTTCCTTTTACATCTCTACAAAAGCTCATTTTACTTGATTACCTTTTTTCATTCAGAGTGTTTATCTTAAGATTCATGTTAACTGATTTTTTCCTTATTTTTATCTTAAAAATGAAAAAGTGTATATTTGCCTTTCTATATGAAATAGGGGAGCGCTGGTGGCCAATTGGCAAGAAGCTGCGCTGTAAGCCTGAAGGGACTTGGCTCGAGTCCACCAGCTGCTCCAGGGGAGTAGGATGGGCAGTCTCCTCCTATGCGATTAACTGCCTCTGGAAACCCACCGGAGGGCCAGCTATGGGTCAGTTCTTACTCTACACAACAACAAACAGTAGAGTGGGCTGCTAACCAAAGGTTGGAAGTTTGAGTCCATCCAGAGGTGGCTCAGCAGAAAGGTTTGGCAACGCACTTCCAAAAAAAGTAGCCATTGAAAACCTTATGGAGTAGCTCTACTCTGATGCAGATGGGGTCTCCCCGAGTCAGAATCACCTTCACAGCAACTGGTTTTATTTCTTCTAATGTGGACTGCATTCCTGGCCTTGTGTGCTTTCAGGGCGTTCTTGTCTTTGATACTCCTGTGTCGGTACGTGAGCTCTAGGTGAGCTCATCCCTGGACTTGTGTCACTATCATGGGCATCTCTCCTCATCACTCCGTGCATTCTCACAGCTGCGCAGGGTCGCATGGGAATGCTCTGCATTTTGTGGAACGTGTACCTGGTTGACTTCATCATTAGCCATGTTCTCGTGCACCCCTGCTGTGCTCCAGTCATCTGCAGGACCCTTCACAGGTGGACTTACTGGCTCAGACATTATTTCCATTGTAAACTTTGCTGCTGTTGTTAGGTGCTGTTGAACTGATTACAGCACATAGCGATCTCGAAAACAGCAGATCTGAACCGTGCCCTGTCCTGTCCCGTCCTCGTGATCTCCGCCATGCTCGAGCCTGTTGTTACAGTCATTGTGTCCAGTCCAGCTTGTGGAGGGTTGTCCTCTTTTCCACTGACCCACTTCCTTTTCTATCATCATGTCTTTTGCCAAGGACTGGCCTCTCCTGATAAATAAAACCTTAAACTCACTGTCCTCAAGTCAGACCAGTTCTGTTGATCATGCAGTGGGTTTCAGAGACTGAGTCTCATGAGAAGAAATTGCCCATCTTTTTCCTTTGGAGAGCTGCCTTTGGGTTAACAGCACACTCTCTATGGACCGTGCCACCAGAGCTTTGATTGTAAATTAATAAGTATCCTTCCAAAAAGATTACAGCCACTTACTTTCTCAGCAAGGATGGGGAGGGTTTTAGCAGGGATTAGATCTGCATCTTTGAAAGATCAGTCATTCATTGAATAGGTATTGATTGGGAGCTTGCTTACTTAACTAAAGGCAGTCATTGTATCTGAGGATGCTTCAGTGAGCACAGCGAACTCCCCACTCTCCTGGAGCTGACATTCTAATGGGAGAGACTAGCAATAAATAATGAACGAATACACTTACGTCAGATAATGGCAAGTTCTGTGAAGAGCAGTAGCGTCGGGCAGCTGGGTGTGAGCAGTGCCAGCCAGGGTGAGAAAGGAGGCCTGACACAAGGTGGGAAGCTCAGGGAGGAAACCAAGGAGATCTGCAGGGGGAACCGTTGAGGGTGGAGGAAACAGCCAGGGCAGTGGCTCTGAGGCATGTGTCAGTAAGGGGACCAGAATTGCTGAAGCAGCATCATAGAGAGCAGGAGTCAGACAAGGTCAAGTGTAGGGGCCTGGGGACAACTCTAATGTTTACTTATACTCTGAACAGGCTGAAGAGACCCCACAGGCTCTGAGCAGGGGAGGAACATAATCTGATTTGAGTTTTGCTGAGATCACTCTGGCAGCTCTGTTGAAAATCGGCTCTAGAGGGTGAAGAGAAAAGCAGAGACTGCCCAGGTGAGAAGGGATGAAGCCTTGGCACAGGGTGACTGTGAAGATGTTGACTTGGGCACTGGAGAGATGGGTTTAGAAGAACCTGGTAGGAAGAGCAGATTTAGGGGATCAGGAGCTCTGCTCACTTTGGCTGCTGAGTGGAAATGGAACAGGGGAGCCTGCAGCTCCAGCTGCCTTCTGGACCAACCCTTGGATGTCTCCAGGCACCACAAACTCAGCATGTCCAAAACAGAAATCTCCTTCCTCCAAATTCCCTACCCAGCACCATTACCCGGGAGCCGCCACCTACCCAGAGTCCTGCCTCTCCCCCACAGCTACTTCGTTTCCCTCCAGTCCTTCAGTTTGCTCTCCAGCTCTCCGTCTCTAGGATCTGCACTGCTATGGCTCTCACGGAGATGATAATAAGCTAAGGGCCTGTACCAGAGAAGGTGCTCGGTGAATGACTGAGTGAACAGCCTCCTTGGCAGTCTTGGATGGCCTCTCTAGTCCTTCATCCCAGACTCCAAACCATCCCAGAGCAATCTTTGAAACCATATCTGACTGTGTGCTTTCCCTGACTAAATGGATCGTATCTCCCCAGGGTCAACTCAAATATAATGTAATGGCCTACAGACTTTGGCCTTCATAGTGGTTTGTTTGTATTATTAAAATATTGAATCAAGTAGAATTTTTTAATTGATATTCAGCATTTCCCATTTCTTTTGAGAAATTGTAAGATTTGGTAGTATTGGGTCCACGTTTCTGACGGCAACATCAGCCACCTTGGGTGGGGCTCCCCCTTTAGGAAGGATGTGTACTCTTAATTGACCACAGTCTACACCTTTCCCTTATGCTCAGTCTGTTCCCTCACTTGTTGCCTCCCTGGCCTCTATGGATGCAGATTGCAGCCCCTGACCTGGATGTGCAAGAGCATAACTCCTGGTTAGTCCAAGCACTGGCTGAGGTGGACAAGGGGAAAATGAAGTTAAAAATTTAGGCTGAGGCCAAGATGTAAAGGACATTGAATGCCATTTCAAGAAGTCTGTCCTTTATAGAAAGGGCCATTGGGGGGAGGGTTGTGGTCGGATTGGTGTTTTTAGCCCAAGCTCATTGAACAGGAGGGACCTAAACAGACAGAAAAGCCAGACAGCAGAGTGAGGAGTCTCTGCTGCTTGGACACTTGTGGAAGTAGAATCCACCTTCTGGAAGTGTCCTTCCAAGAATGAGGAGGCTTCTTCCCTGCTGAGTTCCCCTAAGTCTGAGTCTGCTCTCTCTGTGTTTCAGGACTGGGCAGTAGCCTTGGGCCACAGCATGGTCATGAGGGCAGATGAACAGTGCTGAAGACCCCAGCTGTCTACGGCTGCTACACAAGGACCCCTGTCATCCAGGACCACAGCCCACAGTCCTCTCCTGCCCACAGGATGGGAACCTGGGGGCTGGGGGCCCAGCCATGAGGGACTACTGCCCCTCCCAGCAAAAGGCTACCCCTGCACCCCACAGGCACACCCCTGACCAAGGCTCAGGCATGGACTCCAGCCACAGCAGCCCCAGTGTGGCTGGGGAAGGGGCTTCCTGCTCTGAGGGACCTGGTGGGAGCTTGGCTTGTCCCCCATCAGCCTACATCCCTCCCCAAGAAGTAGCCTCCAAAGGCACGTTGAAGGTACAGGAAGCCTCAGTCTCAGGAACATCAGAAACCACCTTCTCTGGAAGGCCAGGAATTTCAAAGGCAGAGCCTGTGTCCTCAGTGAAAATTGATCCTAAATCCTCAGAGACCAGAAATCCTATGTTCTTAGAAAAAATGGATCCTAACTCTTCAAAAGTGGATTCCACTTCCACAGCCAAGGATGATGCTGCATCCTCAAGGAAGACAGACTCTGTGGTTATAGAACAGGCAGAGCCTGCCATCCTGGGCAAGGGGGATCCTGTGTCTTCTGGAAAGGTTGAACCTGAATCCTTGGGAAAGGAGGATCATATTTCTTCTAGCAGAGTGAATACAATGTCCCCAAGGAAGGAGGACACTGAGTCTCTGAGGAAAGGGGAACCTGTGTCCTCAGGTAAAGTGGAGTCTGCAGCCCCGAGACAGGAGGATCCGAGATGTTCAGAAGAAGAGCATCCCATGTCCTCAGAAAAAGTGGGCCCTGCATCCTCTGGGAATGCAGATCGTGGGTCCTCAGGAAAGAACACCAGTTCTGTATCAGTAGGAAAGAGAGATCCTGGGTCCCTGGAAAAGCTGCCTAGTGGATCCCTGGACAAGACCGAGCTAGTGTTGTGTGGAACAGGGGAGCCTGGGCCCTCAGGAAAGGAGGATCCTACATCTAAGGGAAATGACAAAACTGTGTCCTCCACAAAAGAAGACCCCAAGTTCCTGGAAAAGATGGATCATGCCTCGTCAGGAAAGGGGGATCCTATCTCCATGAGAATGTTGGGAGCCGTATCTACTGGGCAAGCCGACCCAGTGTTTTCAGGGAAGATGGATCCTACATCTTTGAAAAATGTGGAGCCTATGTCTTCAGATAAGGTGGGTTCTGTTTCCTTAGAAAAAATTAGTCCCGTGTCCTCGGGAAAGCCAGAGCCCTCGTCTTCTGGGCAGGCTGAGCCTGTGTATGTGGGAAAGACAGAACCTGCATCCTCAGGGAAAGGGACCCCTGTGCCCTCCAGGAGCGTGGATTCCATTTCTGTGGGGAACGTAAAAGCAGCATCTTCCAGAAAAGGGGATCCAGACTCTTTGGGGAAGATAAGCCCCTTGTCCTCAGGTCCAGGAGATTCCAGTTCCTTGGGGACTGCAGGACTCTCGTCTTCAGTGAGAGCTGACACAGTGATTGGGGGGAAAGTGGGTCCACTGCCCTTGGAGAAGGCAGATTCTGTGGCCTCTAGGAAGACTGAGTCCTTGACATTGGGAAAGGGGGGCCCTGCAAAGACCAGGGGAGACCCTGAAGCTAGCCCGTCTGGAGTAGACTCTGTGTCTTTAGGAAAAACAGTTCCCATGTCCTTGGGGAAGGGAGATCCCCTGTCCCCAGGAAAAGCAGCACCAGCCCCAGAGAGAAAAGTGGAGCCTCCACCTCCAGAGATGGGGAATCCTGTGAACTCCACAAAGGTGCACCCCAGTACCTCAGGGAAAACAGAGCCGACTGAGACATCTGAGGGCAAAGAAATGAAGCCGCCTGAGAAAGAGGACTTCACCTCATCAGGAAAAGCAGAGGCTGTGGTTTTGCAAAAGGAAAAGCAAGTGGCCTCGGTGGATCTCGGCTCTTCTGGAAAAGCAGACCCCATTGCCTCTGGGAAGGCATCTTCTGCGTCTCCATCTCTGAGAAAACCTGAGTCCGTAGCCTTGGGAAAAGTGGCAACTCTGACTCCTACTGCCGAAGTTTCCTTCAGGCAGTCAGATGACAAACCCCGGGTTGCAGCTGCTTCACCCGAGGTTGGGAACAGTGGGAACCGCGCAGAACCAGAACTCCCACACACAGGGGCTTCAGGCCTCGGTCCTAAAGACTTGGTCGCCACTGGGGCAAAAAGCCCCGGCCTTGGAGCCACAGTGCCCTCACCTGGGCCGCGGACTCGCGACAACTTCACCAAGGCGCCATCCTGGGAAGCGAGTGCCCTCCCGCCTCCACGCGAGGACGCTGGCACACAGGCAGGGGCGCATGCGTGTGTCTCGGTGGCCGTGAGCCCCATGTCTCCGCAGGACGGCGCGGGGGGCCCGGCCTTCAGCTTCCAGGCGGCGCCCCGAGCGCCCAGCCCTGTACCCAGGCCACCTTCACGCCGTGATGCGGGCCTGCAGGTGTCCCTGGGTGCTGCCGAGACGCGCTCTGTGGCCACTGGGCCCATGACGCCGCAGGCCGCCGCACCTCCAGTCTTCCCCGAAGTGAGGGTGCGGCCTGGCTCCGTACTGGCGGCCGCTGTGGCACCCCAAGAGGCGGCTGAGCCTGTGCGCGATGTAAGCTGGGACGAGAAGGGCATGACGTGGGAGGTGTATGGTGCCTCCATGGAGGTAGAGGTGCTGGGCATGGCTATTCAGAAGCATTTGGAGCGGCAGATCGAGGAGCACGGCCGGCAAGGGGCAACTTCACCACCATCCTCGGCCCGCCCGGGGCCTGGCCGCTCTGGCTCTGTGCGGGCAGCGCCCCCCGAAGGCACAGCCAAGCGCCCGCCGGGGCTTTTCCGTGCGCTGCTGCAGAGTGTACGGAGGCCGCGGTGCTGCTCTCGGGCCGGACCCACGGCCGAGTAATCTGTGCCCCTTTTGTACTCCCAAGTCTCCAACCTACGGCTCCTTTCTAGACCAGGCCCATAAAGAGGACCTCCTCGGAAGAGCACCAGGCCCCCCGAGGGGTGAGCAGCCTCTAGGCTCTTCTTCATCCCATTTCCAGCCTCCTTCCCTCCTAGACCCACTCCCCCTACCGTTTCCACAGCCCCTCTGGCCACAAGCCCACGCCACTAAACCTGATCCTCTCTGCAGTCCTTTGTGCCACTCTCAGCCACACTGGGCGACCATGGGGACCTGCTCAGCACCCACCCTCACCCGTCAGAGCCCAGCAGGAAACTCCTGAGCTGTCCAGACTGTTATACTGAGGCCTCCAGTGTCTCTTGGTTCCCATAATTGAAGAAACCATGTGTATAAATCTCCGGGTAAAGCCCTAAGTGTGTAAGGATTGGTGTGTAGGACTCCTAAGTGTGCAAGGCTCTGAGTGCACAGCCATAAGTATGTGAAGCTCAGAAAGTGTGTCCACGTGGCTGGCTGACCCCCACAGCCTGGGTGTTTCCTGCATGTTGTTGGTAGCCCTTCCCCAGTCCATCTGCACTCACCAGCCCAGCCCCCATATCTATCTCTTGCATCTGGTCATTGGTTCACAATTCCTAGATAGGTCGGTCACAGGCAGCAGGACATGCCCTGGGGGTCTCCGCTCAGAGTGAAAATAAGTCAGAGGGTCTTGCTTGGGCCCAGAGGTCACAACTGATGCTTAAAGAAACTCTCAGGTCACGGAAGACTGATAATACCCAGTCATAGTGACAAGACAGAGCTCAGTCCACATTACACTGTCTTTTAAAGGCCATCATCCCCACATTCCCTGTGCTGTGAGTCCCCACAAGTCCCTTGTGACCACTCAGTGTCCCTGCCCCTGTTCCTCTTGCCGTGGTTTTTTGGCTCAGAACCGTCACAGTATACATTGGTAATAAAATCTTTCCCCAACTCTTGTCTGTGATGATTGACTGGAAGGAGGAAGGGACACGGAAGCAAGATAAATTACTGTTATTACAGAAGGATAGATACAACTTGGAAGTACACTCAGAAGAGCAAGAAGCAATGTGAGGCTCTATGGCAGGTCCTTGTCACAGGTCTGTGGTATCCAGGGCAGCGTTGGTGAAGGTCAATGTCTGCTGCTGGTCACCAGTACCCGCCTGCCTTCCTGACAGCACCAGGCTCAGGGGCTCTTCAGCTGCTTCCTTTGCACTGTGCAGTGGCTCCTTCTAAGGACACAAAGTATGGAGGTGTGAAGGGCCCCGGCAAGATGGGGTGAGAGCTCCCAGGCCCTGCAACAGGGAACAGGCCTCCGAGCCCACACCCAGGTGACGTCGTGGCTGATATTCCCCTGCTTCTGTGCCTCAGATTCCTGATGCCTTGTGGTGGTATAGTAGGCCCAATAGGGTCGGCCTGACCTGGGCCCCACTTTTGCACAGTAGTACTATGGCAGTCTGAGTTTCCAGGTGCTATGCCATCTAAACAGTTCCTGCCCACCTGCACCTTGTGGCAGGCATGGTGTTAGGCATGGTCCATCCATTTCCTGGAGTATCCACAACAGGAGAGAGGGAAGGAGTCTCCCATGTTGTAAATGCACAAACTTGAGACCCAGAGGGCTTTCATGACCAGGAAGGGGTAGAGCAGAGAGTGATCTGCTAGTCTTGCTAAAGCTCAAGTCTGCCATGTCTACAGTGTGGTATCATTGAGTTCAGCTTCTCTTTCCTGTAATCCTCAGAGGGACGCCTTGCGCAGCTTGGGTCATCACCTGCCATCATCACAATGCACACTCACTGCTCTCACCAGGCTGCCAACTCACACACCTCACATGTCCCTCTGCTTATGGCGCTCCCTTCCCCCCTGCTCGACTGTTCTGACCTAGAGGCGCTCACAGGGCCAGAGCCCCTGCCTGCTGCCTCCCTCCCTAGGGCACTCCACAGGCTTTTTCCAGACAGGCTGTCCTGGTCCCTGATAAACAGTGGAGTGTCAGAGGTACCCCAGAGGGTCGAACATTCTGCCTGTGCTACCCTGGGCCCTGGCTGCATGCCCTGAGCCAGGAGCTGTTATTCAGTAGGGATCAGGAGATGTGACCTGGCCTGGGATGCAGGAGACCTGGCTTTGTATTGCATGTTGTCTGATCGTAGACAATTCATTTTCTCTATTTGAAAAGGGTAGATCACACACAAATCTTTATGGAACCCCGGCACAAGTGGTTAATCACTTATGGTTAACAGAAATCTTTTAACCCATCCAGAGGTGCCTTGGTCATGGGATTTGGGGGGAAAATCCATTGTTGAAAGCCCTGCTCTGGAACAGATGGGATCACCATGGGTTTGGGTTTTTTTGTTTTTTTTTCTCTTTGGGATGCCAGCAGCATCAAGAGATTCCTTGAAAAAAGTCAACTGTTCCCTGTCCAAAGACAGGTGGCTCCCAACAAGTCAAACTCCTGCTGTGGGAAGAGGCTAAAACCTAGGCAGCTTTTTAAAATTCTAACCCATCCCTGTTTCCCTTCCCCTGGACAAAGCCTTGACGGCTCCCCATGGCCTGGCCCCATACTTCAGATTCTTCCTTCAGGGCTCCCTGTCCTTCCTTAGCCCACTGGTCCAGCCCGCTACAAGGGACCCTGATTTCACTCCTGCCAGTCTCCCCCATGTAATGCTCCCTTCCTCTCCTCACACTGCAGCATCTTGGTCTAAGTATAGGTTTCACATGAGCACAATCCAGTGTTCTGGGATTCTCATTCTTCTCAATGTTAGCCCAAATTTGTTAGGATCTACACAGCCTTAGCAGGATCCACACAGCCTTAGCATAGTCAATAAAACACAGACATTCTTCTGGTATTCTTTGCATTCAGCACCTAACAACAGTGACCACAGTCTCCCCCGGGGCCCACCTTGCCCAGTCACTGTTCTCGTCTAACTACCAGCTCTGACAGGCAGGAAGCTGCCAGTTCCTCCCAGACATCATCACAGGAGTTTCTGGCTCATTCTTCAGGGGTCAGTGGTCCACTCTCTGGCTGGGCTTCCTGTATGATGTCATATTTTTTAAAGCCCAAGAGTGATATGCTGACCAACTCTTTTTCAAGTAATTTATTCTTGGGCAAATACTGAGGCCTGAGGGAAAGACTGAGAGTCGCAGAGGGAAGGGCCCAGCTTGGGCAGATCTGAGTGGATGTCAGGTGCAAGTTGGATGGGTGGGTGACACAACCTCAGATTGAATGGGGAGTAGAGAGGAGGGAGGGTGGTCTCCCTCTGGTACCTAGGCTTCTAGGTAGAGGAGGCCCTTTCACCAGCATTGGGTGCTGCAGAGTGGAAGTATCTCTGCCCTGGTCTGTGGTTTCGTGTGCCATCAAGCTGCTTTTCCACTCAGAGCTACCCTCTGAGACAGAGCACAAGTGCCCCCACTGGACGTTCTAGGCTGTAATCTTTACAGAAGCAGTTCACTGGGTCTGTCTCCCTCAAGCTACTGGGCGGATACAGCATGCCCACACTTACAGCCAAGTACCTAACCATTGTGCCACCAGGGCTGCCTGCCGTGGGCCTTATGGCAGGGAGAAAAGACAGAGGTAGGTGAAATGCCCACCCCACTCCCAGATAGGCAGCCCCCCTGGGGCCCCACCCTCAAAAAACACTTCTGTCCAATCAGCTCCAACTGATGATGCCCCGTGGGTTTCAGTGTAAGACTCTGATAGGGTCCTCAATTGCAGATTTTTACCCCCTAGAAGTAGATTTCCAGGCCTTTCTTCTGAGGCACCTCTGCATGTACTTGAACCATCAACCTATCAGCAGCTGTGTGCTGTTAGCTGTACCACCCAAGGACTCTCAGGTGCCCTTAGACCTGCTGAGTCTCAGCCGTGGATAGAACCCAGCAGCCTGTGTGTGGCCAGTCCACTTCACGTGACCTTGATGCCTCCTCAGATGAGAGAACTCCTTAAGTGGACTTCAATTCTAGCAGCACACTAAGAGCCTCTGGGGATGTTTTAGGACACAGCAGTCTTAAGGCCAGCAGTGTCAGGATCTCTGTCATGGGGGTGTTTTTAAAGAGCTTTCCAGGTGAGTTCAATGGGCAGCCCAAGTTGTGCACTATTGATCTAATCAGACCACTAAAATGTTTAACAGACGGCTGCTCTGTCGTTATTTCAGCTTTGTCTTCTTTCCGGGGCTCTTTATTCATTGCCTTCCTGTTCCCATCAATGCTAGATTTTCTATAAAGGGATGGATGGAACACTGCTTGGGTTGGCAATGGATATGTGTGCTCTTATTTAGTTGTTCTGACTTCCACTTTTGCTGAGAAACTGAGAACCGAAAGAAGCCACCAATCCAAGGGGTGAATGAGAGGAGAAAGGATGGAACCCCATTCTAAAGCCATGGGTCTCCCTGGACCTGCTACAGAGAAAGAAGACTGCCACTCTTACCCACTTCTGCTCTCTCATGCCTGTCCTGAACCCCAACCCTGCAGGCACCAACTCATTTCCCTGTCTTGCCTTGATGTTCGCCCTGTCCTGGTCCAGGTCCACAATGTTGTCATCCAGGGAGTTGAGACTGTGGGAGAAGAGGGAGGTTAGGCAGTGGGCAGGCCCAGTCCTATCATCTGTGAGAAAAAAAAGCAACACCCCACCGACCCTCCCTTCACTACCACCGTCACCAGCATCATCACTGTAATCACCACGGTTCCCATGACCACCACCACCTGTCACTAGCCATCACTAACAAATACCATCATCAACATCCCCACCGTCATCCCCATGACCACAGCAGCATCAGCATCTCCATCACCAACCAGCCTGCTCACCTGACATGGTCGTAGTCGCTAGAAGAAGAGAGGGACTCAAAGCCCAGGTCCTTGGTGGAGAGGTTCAGCATGGGGTTGGCCCTGGAGGGAAGATGTACAGTGACCTTCCTTCCAATAGACATGGCCCTGGGCGCCCCCCTCCCCCCAGTGAGGCTCTGACCCACTCTCGACTGCCTGCTCACCGCTCAGTGTTATACATATTCGTTCCGGGGATGGTGGGCCCTAAGGGCACTGCCCCCGCCGCTGTGTTCCGGGCCTCCTTAGCAGCCTTCATAGCCCAGAGCTTCCGCCGGTAGCTGTGGGAAAGGGGAAGGTCACCCCTTGGCCTGCACCCCACGCCCGCCCCCCCAGTGCAGGCCCTGAGGGTGTGGTTTCATGATGGCCCTGGCAGGAGGGGATGTCAGCTCTGTCCTACAGAGGTTACGACAGTCAGAAAAGAGAAGTGATTTGATGAAAGCTGGGGGAGTCCTAGCTAACAAGATGCTGAGAGTCTCTGATGTTTGAGTCCAACAACTCTTGGGGAGAAGGGTGGGCAGTCTGTCCCTGTTCATGACTTACAGCCTCAGGAACCTGATGGAGGATCTCTCTGAGTCAGAACTGACTGAGTGGCCGTGAGTTTGGCTTCCCTCCCCCTTAACACAACTGGCAAGTGTCAAGGTCCGGAATCCAACCCAGATGGGCCTCTGATCCCACATGTATTCATTCAGAAGGGGAAAAGAAGTATTTCCCAATTGTATAGTATGTTCCAGACATCTTGCTGGATATGAGGTTCATGTTACTTCATTAAGTGCTTTCAGGACTCTAATTATTATGCCCACTTTGCAGACATGGAAACTGAGACCCAAGGAGGGCAGATGTACCCGGTGCCTAAACCTTAGTTCTTTCTCTCCTCCTGGATGTCTCGGGGAGGGTGGAAGGGGGCTTAGAGACACAGGGGTGATGGGAGCAGCACCTCTTCTGGAGGCACACGATGGCCACGGTCATGACCACAAAGGCCAGCACCAAGGCCAGCCCCAGGCCCACGATGACGCTGACAAGCGTCTTTGGCAGGTCTGACTCCTGGGTCTCCTGGGAGCCCTGGAGAAGAGGAGAGAATGAGGGGGCTGTGGAGGTCGGCACCATCACCCCGTGCCCAGGTCACCCCTGCTGTGCTGCACTCACCAGCACCACCAGGCCCAGCTGGAGCAGCTGTGTCAGCGAGTCCTGGTCTCTCCGGATCATCCTGGCCACAGAACCCATCAGACCCAGGAACATGGGCATCACCAAATGTTCTGCTCCCCCTCCTCCCACCCCAAGGGTGACCCCACTCACACACTCAGCTCATTAAGGGTCAAGGCAGTGCCATTTGGGAAGACAAAGTAGGCATCGAGGTAGGAGCGGCCCCGGGCCCTGGTTTGGGAATGGGGCGAGGAGTCAGCAGCCCAGAACTACCCAGCAGCCCCCTGTACCCTGATCACTGGGCCAGTGGGCATTCACCGCGTTGCAGAGTCTATGTCCTGAATGTTCACAATGTAGACACTGGTCATGGTTGCCTGGGCCAGAGACCTGCGAAGGAAGGGGAAGTCACAAGGGCCTGGAGTGGGAGCCTCAATACAGGCCCATGGGATTAGGAATTGTGCAAATTAGAAAGGGGCACCTCCTCTGGGCACACATAGGCCCCCATTGGCTCAACAATAAGCATTTCTGTGCAAATTAGGAAAAGAGAAATCTTCCTCTGGAGCTGGACTCACAGCCCAGCATGCAGTGCTCTTGTGCGGGGCACGGCCTTCACAGCTGTATGTGCCAATTCTGTTTAGCTGTCTCTGTGCCCACCTAGCTGGAGGCTCTGAGTATATAAGAGGAAGGGGAACAGACACAAATAGAGAGTAAAAAACGGGGACCAGGCCAAGCGCAGATCAGAGGCAGAGCTGGGAAACAGTCTGTTTGAGTCACATCTAAATTGAGCTTTTTGGCCCTCTTCTTCCCCAAAGCCCCCACCAACACCCCCAGACTTACGCTTTAATGTCGTCCAGGTGGAGTCCCACCTGTTCCTTTGGAGTGGAGAACTGGAGCCTCACGCGGTAGCTCTGGTCCACAGTGAAGAGCTGCAGGAGCAGGGTGTGGGTGAAATGGGGTGCATGAGGCCAGGGGACTGGTAGAGGGCACTGGGATCTGGAGGTGGGTGCTGCACTCACATTTAAGGTCATTTTAGCTGCGTGGGCAGCACCTGTGGAAGGTCTGTCCTGAGCCTGGACAGTTACTTGGTAGGTGCCTTGGAGAGTAGGATCAAGGTTGGTCACCAGCCTGTGAGCAGTGGGAGGACATGGGTCAGTCTTGGAACCCAAGGACAATCCTCTGGATCTACTAGTATACCGCCCAGGATGGGGAGCTGACTGCCCCCAGGTCTCCTTTGGTCCCCCTCCAAGCTGGGGGCCTGCCAGGAGTTACTCAATGCTGCCTGTGAACAAGTTGGCCTCTGAGGAGGTGGAGATCCAGAAGAAGTCCTGGAAGGGGGTGATGGTCCCATCATTAGAAAGGAAGTCCACTTGGAGGATGGAGAATTGGATACGCCCATTGTCCTCTGAGTCGTCGTCTCTGGCCTAGGATCAAGAGTGACCAGCATTAGATAGACAGGCCAAGCACTCTATGCACAACCCCCAGCAGTGGCCAGAGGCTGGGATGGCCTAGGATGCTGGCCCCCACAACCTCCATCAACCACCTTCACCATCAAATCAATTCCCACTCAAGACGACCTCGTGGGTGGCAGGATGGAACTGGGTTCCATAGGGTTTCTAATGGAGGATTTTTCAGAAGTGGGTTGCCAGGCCTTTCTTTTGAGGGACTTAAACTGCAGTATTTTGGTGCAACTATTTGTATTGCCCTGGGACTCCTTCAGCCACCCCAGTGCTCTTTCAAGTAAGCATGTGTGCTCGATCTGCACGTCCAGGTTTGCATGGGTCTCTGCTCCTTCTGCCCCCAGCAGGTCACAACTTTCCTCAGGCACGGAAAGCCCACCTTGCCATCTGCCACCAGCATGAGGATGTCCGGGTGTCCTGGGCACCTACTGTGTGTCATGCCCTCTCCCTGGGGCCTCATTTCATTTTCCAAAAGTAAGGACAAATGCCCGTAGTGGATTGTGGCAATTTGGAGACTGGGGAGGACACAATATTTTTTATTCCATTTCCTTTTAAGGACAAATACAACCCACATTCAAAGCTGAGTGTCCACTGACATTGCTCAGGTTGAGGGGAAAGTTGGTATGAAGCTTCAAAAAGGAGTTGATTTAAAGAAAATTTTCAAACTAATAACATACGAAAGTTCACAATCAAGGCCAAACTGACGGCAGTGAAAAATGCAACTGACTGAAGATTTAAGTGGGGAAACTGACTGGTGAAGGCTTGGAAATCCTCCACTTCAAAGCAACAAGCACCAAAAAAAAAAAACCACAAAAGAATTGCTGTTTAGTTGTTCTGACTCGTGAAGACCAGAACTGCTTGTCATGGATTTTCAAGGCTGTGCCCTTTCAGAAACAGGCTGTGAGGCTCGTCCTCTTAGCCACCTCTGGATGGATTCAAATGATCAATTTTTGCAGTTAGTAGCACCTAAGTGATTGCCCCACCCAAGAATCCCTTGGAAAACTCAGAGTTTTTTCAAAAGAGCGTATAGACTCCAGAGAGGCCCTGCCCTGGAAGAGGCCACACTCAGCTTTTAGCTGGGGGGCCAGAACTGTCCACTTCCTCTACCTGTGCCGTTTCCACAGCACAAGGGTGGCACTCAGACACCACCCTGCCTCTTCACATTGTTGTTGTTACTGTATAGCATCAAGTTGGAATCACCCATTAATTAAGATTAGTTTAAATTAAGATTAATGTTATTCTTAACATTAACTGCCAGGAACTCATGTCGCTAATGCATCTGATTTGCCAGCTTCTTGTCTAGGAGGAGAAAGAACCCTGTTGGCAAAGTGACTAAGTACTTGGCTGCTAACCTAAAGGTCAGCAGTTCAAATCCTCCATCCATTCCAAGAGAATATTGAGGCATTTTGACTCTGCCAAGACTTACAGCTGTGAAAACCCTGTAGGTGAGTTCTCCTCTGTCCTATAGGATTGCTATGAATTGGTGGCAGTGTGTTTGAGTTTTATCCCAGTAAGAAAACGGCGTCCCAGAGGGAGGTGGCAGGATAGGCAGAGGCTTCCAGATGATGTGAGACACCCAGCCTCCCTCACAGCATAGCTACCACTCTCTAATGAGCACGAATCCAACACTATCAACACATTTTTTGTAATTTGCCCTGCAAATTATTTGGCTACAAGGACTCCTTTAATTTACAATTGGCTATGATTTCTCTGTAACACTCAAGAATTGCGGTGTAGTAAGAAAAATTGAGTCTGCAAGTGGTTTTCATACTCATGAAATTTTTATGAATACTAAATTTAACAATTAATGAAGTTTGATCACATCATTTAGGCAGGCATTAATTTCCATTCTGGGGTTTGGTTTTCTTTCCCTACGTTGGAAGCAATACATTTCCTTTCTTGTGTTTTAAACAATTTGGGGACAACTGAAAATCCCCCAAACCCTTAATCCTATTCCCTGGGGCTAAAGTGCCTACCAGCCACCAAAGGGTGATGCTAAAGACGTACCTGGACAGAAGCCACCTGCTGGTTGGGTATCACAAGTTCCGGAATGATCACTATAGGTGGAGACAGGAAGGAGTCAGTAAGAACAAGGACAGAGCCCACAAGCCCAGCTCAGGGCTTATCACTAGTTATCCCAGGATAGCGAACCCTGAGCCAGCAGTTAATATGTTATCCCACTTCCATTGTACAGATGGGGAAAGTGAGGCCCAGAGAGACATGGCCCAAGTTGGATGACATGTTAGCAAAGTTAGAGGTCTTCTTTCATTTCAAGATTCCACCTGGGGCCTGAAGAGAGTCTATAGGGGCTGCCCAGGGATAGTCCTGGTAAATCAGGGTATGAATGAGGAGGTGGGAGGGGATGTATTGAGAATTAAGAAATTGCTGCTTACCAAAAGTCCTGTTATCAGGTATAAAATAGGGTGCATTGTCATTCACATCCTCAATAGTGATGGGGAGACTTCCTGAGGGGACAGAGCGGTTTTGTTTAGGGTTCCAGGCAGAGGTCTGGCCAGCATACCTGGGACTGCCTTACTTGGGGCCCCCTCCCATGCATCTGTGCTCAGTGCCCTCCCCGGCTCCTGGTCCCAGGCTGTCCATCATCCTTGATGGTCTGTGAGGGAAAGAGTATCATTCTGAGACTTCAGAGAGAGCCTGCACCTTGCTCAAGGTCATACAGCAAACATGGAGGGTCAGGACTGAGCCCAGGTCAGGTATTTGCTACCTGACCATGACATTTCACTGGTCATCTGATTTCCTACTCTGTGCCTCCCTTTCCTTGTCTATAAAACCGACAGACTGCCTACTTCATGGATTGGGTAGGAGGCTTACCCTGTATGTGTCTGGCATAGAGTTCTTGGCTACAGTTAGGATTCAATGCATTCTAGCTGTTAATATGATTGCTATTGGGATTTAAAGGTCCTGGGTGTTGTGTACCTGGGACTAATGTATTTGGGTGTTAACTAAAAGGGTGGTGTTTCAAGCCCACTAAAAGGCACCTCAAAAGAAATGCCTGGTGTTCTCTTTCCGAATATCAGCCATTGAAATGTTATGGGTTGTACATACAGAAACGTGTTGTTGTTTTGGACTGTTGGGTTGGAACCGACTCGTAGTTGGTCCTCCAGCAGATTTTCAGAGGCATTAAATTATCTGAGGGGAGATTGCCCATCTTTTCCCTCAGAGAAGCCAGTGAATTTGAACTGCCTGCCTTTGGGTTGTTAGCATAACTCTTTACCACTAAGCCACCAGAGCTCCCCATGTAGAAAAATAGGAAGAAAGGAAGAAAAAGAAAAAAGACTGGAAGGGAAAAAATTCAGAGAATATAAAAATTTTTTACATGTTGGGCTGTTTTGTTTTGTTTTTTTAAAATAAATAACCAACCCTCTAGTGGCCTAGTGTGGTAAGAGGCTGTGCCGTCAAGTTGAAGGTACATGATTCAAATCCACCAGCTGCTGCACAGGAAAAAGATAGGCAGTCTCCTCCCGTGGAATTTACTGCCTCTGAAAACTTGCTGGAGGGTCTGCTGTGGCTTGGTTTTGACTTAAAAGTATCCAATAACAACTATATATAGAGCATGGTTCTATTCCAATAAGAGATAGAATTGAGCTGATGGCAGTAGTGATTAATGTTATTTGGTGTCAGAGGAGGGATATGAATGTAGCAGGCCTCTGAAGCGTATTCTCTTCTTTATACTACCTCAAAAATGATAGCATTAAATGCTTACTGTGGACTAGTGGGTAAGGAGTTGCACTGCCAATCTCAAAGTCAGCCAGTTCAAATCCACTAACTGCTTCATAGGAAAAAGATAATCTCCTTCTATGCTATTTACAGCCTCTGAAAAGGCACTAGAGGGTCAGCTATGAGTTAGTTCTTACTCAATGGAAATGCATATGAGGTTGTTGTGGGTTGTTTTCATGTTTTTTGTGGGGTTTTTTTTCAGTACTTTTAACATGTTATCAGGAGGGGCCAGACCCTGAAGAAAAACACTGTGCTTGGTAAAGCAGACGGCCAGTGAAAAAAAGGAAGGCCATCAGCGACATGGATTGACACAGTGGCTTCAGAATAGACTAAAGGCCGTGATTGTGAGGATGGTGCTGGGCTGGGCAATGTTTCATTCTGCGGCTTCATAGGTCTCACTGTGAGTAGGCGATAGCACCCAACAACAACACGTGCTGGGTACTACACCAAATGCATGCTTCCATGTATGTTCTCATTTCATTTTCACAGACAACCTATCATCTAACTCCACTTGACAGATGAGGAAACTGAAGCTGACTTGCTTCATAATACCAGTGAGCTACAGCCCAAACAGATTTGAACTCAGACCTGTGGTTCCCAGGCTAGAACTCTTTCCTGTTACCCCTGGACTGCAGGCCGGGCCACCTCACCATTGTCACTGTAGGCCTGGAAGCCGGGTTCCGTCATGAGGTCATGGGCTCGCACAACTAAAGTGACCAGGTCGCAGGCCTCATAGTCGATGGCCTCACTCTGATTGATGAACACAGAGCCATTGGCTGCCACAGAGAACCAGTCATGACACAGGCTGCCCACATTGACCCCTGCCTTGCTGCAGAGGACGTTCATGAGCTCGACCTCCAACTGGGCCAGAGTGTCCACATCCAAGGCAACCACCTTCGCCACCAGGCCATGCTTTGAGCCGTTCTCGGCCACGCGGATACCCTGAAGGGAGGCTGCTTCCAAGGTGGGTGGCTCATCGTTCACGTCCTTCACCTCCACATACACGGCTACTGTGGTCTCTTCCTGGGCATCTGGGTCTGTGGCAGTGACTGTCAGATTGAAGAAGGGCTGTGTCTCAAAGTCCAGTCTCACATCCACGGGTACCTGAAGGCGGCCAATGGCCTGCCCAGCCCCTAGCAGTGACCCTCGGAGAACGAAGTTGTTGATGCCATTTCCTGACAGAGTGAAACTGATGCGGTTGTTGGCTTCTGTCTGGTCCTCATCCTTGGCCACCACCACACCCACCAGTGCTCCTGTGGAGGAAAGCAGAGAAGTGAAGGGACTCCTACCCTGGCCATTGGCGGCGGAGGGCTCTGCTGTCTGCTCACTGAGTAGGACAAACCCTCCCCGGGAAGAGTTTGCTGTCACATGGTGGCGTGGAAGGACTAGCTTACCCGGCTCCTGCTCCTTCACGGAGAAGTAGTAACTGGACTCGTTGAAGACTGGCAGGTTATCATTGATGTCCTGTGGGCAGAGGTGGTCCTGAGCCCAAAGGCCCTGGGGGCCCTCAGGATTCGTGCTCCCCCGGGCCGGTCTGAGGGGGCAGTGCTAGACAGTGGTAGAGTTCTCGCCTTCCGTGTGAAGGACTTGGGGACCATTTCTGCCTCATGCACCTCCTGCTCAGCCACCACCCGTCTGCCCCCGTCTGCCAATGGAGTTGTGTGTGCTGCTACCATTCTTAATGGTTTCAAAGGAATTTCCAGACTGAGATGAGCTAGAAAGAAAGGCCTGGTGATCTACTTCCCAAAATTAGCCTGTGAGAAGCCTGTGGGTCACAACAGTCCCATCTACCCCCCAATCTAGGAACGGTGCAGGAGGCCACCATGAAGCAGGGGCTGATGAGACCACAGCCACCAACAGACGGAGCCCTCCTGAGAAGCCAGGATTTCCTCTGCTCCAAGTGAAGGGCTCCCTACCCCTGCCTGCTCTGACATCACTGCCCTGTGAGGTTGTGCCCCCATTTCACCCAAGGAAACCACCTTTAGAAGAGATGTGCAGTTAGTTGCACACCACCACAGAGACCCACTTCCACGCTCCTCTGAACACAGCTCAGAACTATTTTAGATTTTGCCTTCCTGCAAGACAAATCCCTGGGAGTTGCCAACAGTTAATATGCTCAATTGCTAACTGAAAGTTTGGAAGTTCAAGTCTCCTCAGAAGTGCCTTCGAAGAAAGACCTGGTGATCCTCCAAAAATATCAGCTACCAAAAATTCTGTGGGGGGGAAGAAGACTTGGGGGTATGACAGAGACTGGAGAACACTCAGGACTATGAGCCTTGGTCATTCTTCAAACCTGGAACTAAACTCAACCCTGTGGTTCAACTTTCAGCCAAAACACAGACAGGTCTACGAGGTGAGCCATAATATCAGGGTGGTATGATAGAAGGAGAATTGATGCCTTTGGGCTGTGGTGCTGAAGAATAGTATTCAATATATCACAGACTGCTAGGAGAACAAACAAGTTCATCCTGGAGAGGGTGAGACCAGGCTGCTCCTTGTAGGCAAGGATTCTGAAGCTTCGTCTGACATACTTTGGGCATGTTGGGAGGAGTGACCAGTCCTTGGAGAGGGACATTATGCTTGGGCGAGTAGAGGGACAGCACAGGAGAAAAAGACCCTCGATGAGATGGATTGACTCAGTGCCTGGGGTAATGGGGATAGGTGTGTCAGAGATGTTGAGGTTGGCACAGATTACAGCAGGGTTCAGAGCTGTTGTACAGGGTTCATAGGGTCACTATGAGTCATAGGCAACTTGATGGCACATAACAACAATAACAACTCACTCCTTAGAGCAATCAGTCACACAGAGTGAAAAAAGCAGCTTTTGTCCAAGAATAAACCTCAGAAGGTAGAAAGGAATAGGATAGGAGGATTAATGGAAATGGGAATCACAGGGGGAAAGTGGGAAGAGTGCAGTTACATATGGGTATTGTAATTAATGTCCTAAAAAAATGCATATGGATGGTTACATGGAAAGCCTATCTTCTCCTTTAAGCTTTCTCTCAAAACACAATGTATAAACAAAACAAAATAAAAACCTCTCGAGCATGGCACTCTCTGCTTCAGACACTGACACACGGCCAGTTCTGGAAGGATGCCTCTGAGTATCCCACTGTATTTGGCCAGCTTAACTTTCTGTTTCTCAGATTTCTTACACTGGCATCCCTATCGTGATATTTTCATGAGGGCCCTGTGACTCGTTTTTCCTCTAGTCTGCACTGCAATGCTGGCTCCGTGCTCAGAGAAGAGCGAGCCTGGGGACAGATGAGGTGTCTGGATCTGCTCAGAGACGCCAGCTGTTTCTAGTTCTCGCCTTCACTCTCTGCGCTGGTCCCACACACAGCTCTGGCCACAGCATGGAGACAGCTCTGTCTCCCACTGTCTCCCTTAACTCTGATGTGTGTTCAGGCCGTTGGGTGTGCCTGACCCTCCCTGGGTCTGCTCACAGGCCCCAGGAGGCTCATAAGTGTCATCCCACGTGTACACATTTGCTTCCCTCTTTTTCCACTATGCCTCCAGGATGAACGTCTCTGGAAATAGAATTTTCTCTGCTTGAACTAGATGTCAGTTTCTTGGAAATAGAATTACTGGTTCCGAATACATGGTCAGCCGCATCCTCAAGTTCATCCTAATTCACAGCTGTGGTTAAGAGCAAGGGACCTCCAGGGACACAGTCTACAGAGGGTTACGACGCTGATCCAAAGCTCTGCTTCTCTGGCAGTTCGAATATACCAGGCAGGAGAAAAACAAGCGATCTCCTCTCATGTGATTTACAGCTTTGGAAACCTGCTGGAGGGTCAGGTAGGAGTCAGAACTGACTTGACAGCAATGAGAGGAGGTTAAGAGCACAGCTCTGAGCACAAGCTCAGCGTCACATGTCTCTTCAACTTCTCTGAACCTCAGAATCCTTAACTGTAAAGTGTCCCCAGTGGAGACCCCACACATAGGTTGTTGTAACAACAGCTTCTGGAGGTGAAAGGTCTTGGCTCACTGAATAAGTTCAACATGGCTCTGTATGCCACCCGCAGCGACAACAGACTCAATTTTGTCTGTTCCTGTTAGATCTCTTTCTCTGATACTTACAGGAAAGTGACATAGCTCAGCCCAGTAGGACACAGGCTGCTCTGCGCCGCTCTGACAACTGAGAGGTGTCCTTCCCTTAGTGGATATCATAGGGCTGTGGAATTGTTAGGTTTTTCCAGAGGAAAGTGCCTTGTGGGATGATGGCCTAGGTAAACAATTCAACTTCTCTGTGCCTTTGTTTCCTTATCAATAGGAGACTGGCAAGACCAAGTGTGCAGTAGACAAGACAGATACTGCTTTTTCTCCTCTTGTCTTTCCCCTTGCATGGTGGCAAGAGACAGAAGCGATCAGGTACCAAGTGCTCCTGTGTGCCAGGACACATTTAGACACATTCTGTTACTTAAATCATCTTCATGCCATTCTCAATCCAGGTCCCTCTGACCTGCCACACAGCAAAAGGCAGAGGTGTGACCTGGGCCCACGCAGGACTGGCCCCCTGCATGACCCCACTTCCGCAGTCCAGGCCGGCAGGTCATCCGGCCGTCCCCGGGCCCTGTCCAGCCTGAGCCTGGCCTTACCTCTACATTGATGGTGACATTGACCTCAGTGCTGTGAAAAGGCTCAGCACAGTCAGTCACATACACAGTCAACACAATTCGGCCCCCAAGCGCAGGGTCAATGGCCTCTCGGTCCAGGGACCCCAGGTTTGTAAGGAGCCCCGTGCTGGGGTCCAGTGAGAAGTTGTGGCTGTAGGGGCTTGGCGCCAGGGTGAAGTTCAGGAGGCTGTTGTTGGTGTTGGGCTCATCCTCATCATGGGCCTGTTAAAGGGAGCAGCAGCAGCGTCAGGCAGCCAGCCTCTAGCCCCTCTTCTGAACCCGAAGTCAGTGGGGTGCTGCCCAGCCTCCCAGCCCTGGCCTCTCTCATCTAAGAAGGTCCTATAATTTGTAAGAGCTTTTGAGATCTTAAGCACTGAGAAGTCATTCATTTACTCCACAGATGGTTGCCATGTACCTATCACATGCCCAGCTCTGTTCTAGGCACTGGGAACAGAGCTGTGATCAAAACAGCTTCCTGTGAGGCTGACAGTCTAATGAAGAAGGAGGAGTCCAGAAGTCACTAATCGCTATGTGTGTTCATATGGCCATCTTTATTTCATCTTCTATTTTAACTTTTTTTTTTTTAACTCTGGCACAGGATTGAGCGAGGTTTTACTCTGTTGTACAGAGTTACTATGGGCTGACAATAACAACAACTCACCTCAAATCTTTTCTGGAATGAGGCAGGGTGATGCATAAAGAGGAGGACAGCTTTGAGGCTGTGTTGTGGGAGGGGCCCTGTGCAAAGGCTGTATACCTATTATCTAACTATTCTCCAGTGACCCATGACTCACACTATGATAATCCTTATTTTCCCAAAAAGAAACAGAAACTCAGAGAGACTGAGTGATTTTCTCAGCACCACACAGTAGAGCCCAGCTTGTACTAGGGCCAGCATGACTCCCAAGCTGGCTAGTCCCCGACTACCCTGCCCAGACCAGCTCACACCTGGATGGTAACCCTAACATCTTCTTGCTCCTCCTCAACAAAGATGTTGTAGGAGCCGCTGACTACGGGCTTATTGTCGTTGATGTCCGTAAGGATGATCTCTAAGGTGGTTGAGTCCGACAGGTTCCCACCGTCCGTGGCCTGCAGCGTGAGGTAGTACACGGCCTGCTTCTCGCGGTCCAAGAGCTCACTGTTTTTCACTGTCACTGTCCCATTGTTTGGGTCTACCTCAAAGAGGTCCGCCCTGCACAAGATGACCAGATCCACAAATAATAATAGAGTGTCTATTTCCATTTAAAGATCAAATCAATTGCAAAAAAAAAATCATTTTAGCACATCTTAAGCAATATTTGTAACATATTTATATGAAATCATTATTTGAGGTTTATCTGATATTAACATGTATTTTCTCTACAGCCTTAGTCTTGTAGTGAGCTAGAAAGATGGGACCAGGCCCTGCCCACTCACTCTCCCCAAAACCTTGAGGCCTTACCCATTCCCTGGCAGGAGGCTGTAGGTGATGTGGCCGCCCTCACCCGTATCAGGGTCAGTGGCCTGTGAGGCAGAGAAAAGGTGGGTATAGTTTGACATCAATGGCACTTCCTGCCAACCTCCCCACCTAGTTTTTTTTGTTTGTTTGTTTGGTTTTTTTCCCCCATCTAGTTTTTAGGAATGGAGGTATTGTGCTTCCTGACACAAAGTAACCCTTGAGACTCACACCTGGCCTCCTCCCTCTCTTTCTCTCTCTCCTCTCTCTTGCTCCTTAAATATTCACACACATATCGTGCTTGCTGAGAACCAGCGATTGGAGAAGACCCAAAGACTTGGCCTGGTCATAGTTCCCAGTTCAGCCCAGCTGTGTGCCACATCACTCACATGGATGTCACTGGTGACCACAGAGCCATTGTCACTGTGTTCTGGCACCGAGATGACATACAGTTTCTGTGGGAATGTGGGCCGGTGGTCATTGATGTCTATGACATGAATGGTCACAGTGGCAGTGGAGGTCTGGTTGTCTGAGTCAGTGGCCACCACCTGTGGGCAGGGAAATGACGGCACACTGAGATCAGAATGCTGCTGGTCTCCCCTCCCCCGGGCCTGGGCCCCCAGACCCTCACCTTCACCACCATCATCTTCTGTTTCTCATAATCCACCAGGTCTGGTGTCTTCACCAGGATCTGCACTTCAGTGGAGCCCGCAGCACGCTCGGGGGAGACGCTGAAGGCAGCAGAGTCCGGGTCCACCAGGGAGAGCGAGTAGGTGCCGTTGCTGCCCTGTGAAGGGCGGCTCGTCAAGGAAGAGCCTGTCCTCCTGCAGCCCCACCTGCATCTTTTCCCCAGTCTTTGGCCCAGGCTCCTGGCTGAGAAGCCCTTCCCACTGAGATCTCATGAGAGAAAGAGGCTCTCAAAAGACGGAGCATGCAAGAAGGAATGTCAGGAGGTTAGCTTGCCAGAAAATATGACTCAGCAGAAAAGGACTTCTCCAGGCTCTATGGGCCCCAAGTCTGAGCTGATGAAATGGCACTTGGACATGGACCAATCATTCCCATAAAAAATCACTATCAGTCCTGCTCCGACCTACAGCCCGCCAGAACCAGCACCGATACCACCCAATACCCAACATTACCCCACAATCCAACACACTGACTACACGTCAACTTTTAACTCAACACCATCCTTCCTCAGTGTCAACCAGCAACTCAATGCTATGCTCTATAGGCAACACTTATCTTCAGCTCAGCACTACCTTCCCTCAGCACCACCCTCCACTCGACATCAACGTCAACGTCAATCACCCGCCCTCAACGTCAACCTCCAACTTAGCTCCACACTCCCTCCAATTCAGCATCCCCCTCTCTCAACAGCAACCACCAACTCAGCTCCACACCCCACTCAACAACAACCACCAACTCAACACCAGCTCCCTCAACATCAATCTACAATGAGACATGACTTTCCTTCAACAGCACGCACCAAGTCAACACCATACTCAACATCAATCACCTCACCTCCACTCTCTACTCTGAATGGCAACTGCCAGGGACTGAAATGTGAAAACTAAAAGAACATTAGGCTTCATTTGTATGACAGGAGTCCAGAAAAAGAGGTGCATAAGGGAGGGATGAGGAGGGAGGGAGGAAATGATGAAACAATAAATTAATTTTTTAAGTGAACTGGGGGAGGGAGGAAAATGTGCAATGGTGAATGAATGAAAATCCAACTCTTCTGTGTTGTTGTTGTTGTTGTTATGTGCCGTCGAGTCGCTTGCGACTCATAGCGACCCCATGTACAACAGCAATAAACTCTGCCCTGTCCTGTGCCAATCGCACCGTCTCTGACACACCCATCCCAATTACCCCAGTCATTGAATCAATCCACCTCATAGAGGGCTTTCTCCTCCTGTGCTGTCCCTCCACCCTCCCAAGCATGACGTCCTTCTTTAAGGACCGGTCTTTCCTCACAACATGTCCAAAGTGTGTTAAACAGAGCCTCAGAATCCTTCCCTCCAAGGAGCCACCCGGTTTAACCCTTTCCAGGACAAATCTGTTTGTTTTCCTAGCAGTCCATGGTATTCTCAATACTCTTCTCCAGCACCACA